ACACTGCAGGGGGATGAGGGACTGTGTGTGAGGACACTGCAGGGGGATGAGGGACTGTGTGTGTGTGTGGAGGACACTGCAGGGGGATGAGGGACTGTGTGTGTGGTGGACACTGCAGGGGGATGAGGGACTGTGTGTGAGGAGGACACTGCAGGGGGATGAGGGATGTGTGTTAGGAGGACACTGCAGGAGGTTGAGGGACTGTGTGTGAGGAGGACACTGCAGGGGGATGAGGTACTGTGTGTGTGTGGAGGACACTGCAGGGGGATGAGGGAGGCCTGGGAGGCTCCAGACACAAGCCAAAGAGCTTCCGTGCCCTCCAGCCTTCAGAGTGCCCTAGTGCTAAACATTCTATTTCTTGCAGGTAATCTGGGGGTCACAACTTTCTCTGTCGGTTTGCTCTTCAGGTCAGGGGTGCTCAGTGGGTGGTTTCTGTGGACTAGCTTTTCAAGTCAGAGGAATCACAATGTCTGATCCTTCCTCACAGTTACACTTGTGTGTAAAGCAGCATGTGCCTGGCCCTTGGTGAGCACTCAGCAGATACGGCATCCACTCCTTTTCTTACCTGAGAACATGTCTCTAGCAAAGAATGACCTTTGGTTCCGCGTTATTTTTCTTCAGGAGCTGGGATCTAGAAGGGAGAAGGCAAAGGAACATGGTTCTCTGGGAGTGGGCAATGAGATTGGTGGCGTGGGGGAAGGGCGGATACTATATGTTTTTTTCCCATATGAGACAAGTTCTCACTATGTTGTCCAGGAACTATGTAGGCCAGGCTGGCCTTGAGCTCATCTGCCTCTGTCTCCCGAGTGCTGGGATTAAAGGTGTGTCCATCTGGGTGGTTAACAGGTAGGAGATGCAGCTAGTTGAGCATACCTGAAGACCTGGGCTTGCTTAAGGAGGCTTCTAGCCTTGTTGACCTCCTGGGCCAGTATCTTTAAGTCATCCCCTTCAAACAGTGGCAACTTGGGATCCTAGGGGAGGAGAAATGAAGGTAAAATTCGATATACTAAACTGACTAGATGAGACCTGAAACTCTAAAGTCTCCGAAGGTGGTTAGAGCGCATTAGATGCAGCCTCTCGCCAGAGGCAGGGAATCCTTGTGGCCGCAGCTCACACATCTCCACCTATCCAGGCAGCCACTCCACACATGGGATGGTTTGAAATTAGATGCTGCGAGAGTCAGCATGTGGGGTGGGGTGGAGGAGGCGGGGAGGGACCAAGGGAGCATCCACATTTCAGTGAATTTGGCTCTTCCCTGGGCGCATGAGGAGAAAGTGGTATGTATGTGTCTTATCTAAACTGCTGGTCAGTCAGGAAAGTCACTCAAGCCCTTTCTCCACTTCTAGTGAAACAGAGCCTCACAGGAATGTTTCTGAAGACATTGACCACTAAAACTCCAGAGTCCCAGAGCTCTGAGGTGGAGAGCCGGCGGCAGTGGGAGAGCAGTTGTTCCCACTGTGCGGGCAGAAGCCTTCCGATCTGTGTGGTGGTGCACATTTGTAACCCCAGAGGGAAGCAGGAGGATCACGAGTTCAAGGCCAGCCTCAATCACGTAGCGAATTTGAGGCCAGCCTAAGCTATGTGAGACCCTTGTCAAACACCCAAGGCCTGGGGACCTGGAGATGTAGGTCAATGGAAGAATGCTTCCACGGGCCCTGGACTCAACTTCCAGCCCTCCTGAACAACAGAGATAAAAGTTCAAGCCAGGCCTGGTTGCACATACTTGTAATCTCTGTACTGGGGAAGAGGAGGCAGGAGGCTCGGGGGTTCAAGCCTACATAGAAAACCACTGTCTCTAAAGGCTCTGTCAAAACAAAGAAGAGTTAACTATGTGCACCATTTCCCTGCTAAACGGGAAGGGGCTCCTTGGAACCTTCGGCTCCTCAGCGTTTGTTGTACAGTAGTAGCTAACTGATGACTTCATTCCATGCTGCTTAGAGGAAATGAACGTCCGTGTTCCAGAGAATGAACACAGGAGTCCAGAGGAGTTAAAGCACAGTGGTTCTGAGCCTTGTCTCGGGGCTCAGCTCCACCCTTCTTCTGACTTTGGGCACACACTTCAACTTCTTGAGCTGTTTGTCTATGCAGGGATGAGGATGTAAGAGTGGCTGATCCAAAGAGGTCATCGAAGTAAAGTGATCGCCCCACATTGTAAACACTCAACTGGTGGAAACCAGTCTGACCTAACCACAGCATTCCCAATCTGTGTCCACCTTCAGGGGGAGTTGGCTTAGAGAGACAGCCATGGGAAACATGCCCCTCTTGATCAGCATTGTGTATTACAAGAGAAGCAGAGATCTCAGGGGGCAGGAAGCCAGCACCTGGGGAGGCTTCCTGAAGCCTCTCCAGGAGACTCACATTTATGACTGGTGACCTACCCCTTCCTTGATGAAGCCTCTGGTGAGCAAGCCATGAATACTGCTGAGGGTGTCCTCACCCACAGGACAGTGGTAACGTCCTCTACTGAGGGAAGCCAGCTTCTTCAGGAACTCAACTGCTGCTCTGGAGGAAGAACAGAGGCTCAGGGACTCACAGAGGCCAGGAGAAGCAAGCAGAGCCCAGTGGGACTTAAGTCTTGTGGAGCTCAAGGGAAAGCAGCCTTGCAAATGGGCCTCAGCTTGTGCCATCCAGATCACCGTTAGGACCGTCAAGGACACTCTCAGGCACGGTACACACATCCACCACTAGTGTCTACTGTGTGAAAGGCCTACAGGGACACAAATATGGTCCTTATAGAGTTCATAGTTGAGCCAGAGAGAGAAAATATGTACCCAAGTAACCAATTTTATTAATAATAAAGTTTATTAATTTATTTTATTGGGGATTGAACTCAGGGCCTCACGCATCTAACTATGTACTCTGCCACTGAGACATGCCTTCAGCCCTCAGGATAAAGGGTTCTTTAAAGGGGCTGCATCTTGTCTAACACATGTTCTTCTAAAGGACCATCTGTAATAAGAATTGTTCTATCAAGATCAAGCCAGTTTAAAATGCCAGCATGGAGGAGGAGGGGGTCCAGAAGGTCTCCTCTTGGCTGAGGAGCTAGTGAGAGTTGGTGGCTAGTCGGGGAGGGAAGAGTTGCTTCTCTTTGGGTGTGTGGCCACTGGTAGGCTGCCAGGCCCCAGCAGATGGCCCCCTATCCATGTACATTCAGGCAGCACAAATTAGACTCAGTGTGCTATCTTAATAAAAAAGAAAGATGGGGCTTGAGAGAAATGGCTCAGTGGCTCAGAACTCTTGTTGCCTTTGCAGAGGTCCTGGGTTTGAGTCCTAAGATCTACATGGTGGCTCACAACCATCTATAACTCCAGTTCTGGGGGCATGAACCCCTCTTCTGACTTCTGAAGGTACCAGGCACTCTTGTTACAGATATACCTACATGCAGACAAAATATTCCTACATATAAGATAAAATAAATAATAGTTTTTAAAAAGGAAGAAAAACCATGAAATTGAGAGGAACATATTGTGGGGGGTCTAAGGGAAATTGGAGGTTGGAGTTGGGGGTAGGTGTAATCATTCATGCATACATGGATGACATTTTCAAAGGATAAATAAAAATATTAAAGACAGTGCTATGATGATGTTTTCTTTTCTAGTTCCCCCAAATATTCATAAATGTTTTCCCCAAGTAAAGAAGGCCAGAAGGGAGAAGACAACAGGAATCATGAGCTAGGGTGCATCAGTTCAAGGGTGCAGAGTGACGTAAGATCGGCTTGTTGCTTGGTCAGTCTGGGGTGGGGAGAGGGTTGCTGCTGCTCTGTGGTGTCCAGGTCACTAACTAAAGCAATGCATTCCTAGTTCCTGTGTCTAAGGGAGGCCCTGGCTTAGTGGAGGCTCTCAGGCCTTTAGACTTGTAGCCTAGGAGAAGCAAGTTGAGCTTACTGCAGCTGCTCACCTGTCTGTGCTCGTCAGGGAGATAGTATGCACTTTGACGTCTCTCCCCTTCAAGAGCCTTTGCACAGTGTCGAGAATAAGGCTGCAGCTTGTGTCTGGTTTCCCGTCAGTTAGGAGGTACAGGCCTTGCATATCCTGAAAGCTGAAGGCTTTCTAAGAGAGCATAGGGAGGTAGTCAGACATGGGAAGAGAGATTCACTGGGAAGGGCAGAAATGGCCCAAAGGAGGAGACTCTGTCCCCAAGGAAAATATGTCTGACAGGATTCTAAAACTGCCCATTGAGATTATGATTCTGGGCCACCAAGACAGCTCAATGTGTCAGTTGCTTTCTATGCAAGCCTGGCAATGTGAGTTTGATTCCTGGAACCCATGTAAAGTTGGAAGGAGAGAACTAACTCTACGAAGTTGTCTTCCACACATATGCCATGCCATGTATGCCCACACAAATCATATCCCCCACCACACACAATGAAAACAAATTTTAAAAAAGACTGAAATTCCACTTCCAGCCTAAGATAGAGCAAGGGAGCCGCTGAGGGTCAGGAGGGGGAGCATGGACCACTTCCTATCTTGTTAGTTCCACACAAGCCACCCAACTTCCCTAAGCCTCTGTGTCTTCCTCTGAAAATGAGAGCCCTGTTAGGTTATTAGGAGGATGAGATGAGGTGACATGCTGTAGGTTCCAGAGCATCATGGGCTACTGGTATGGGGTGGCACTGTGCGTGCTACAGGATAGGGCAGCACTTGCCATTAAAGCGGATAAGAATGAAGTGTTCCCCTGGGCTTGTAAGTGCGTCACCCACTGCATAGCCTCGTGACACGCTGATTCTGTGGTCTCCACCAGAGTGTTCTGCCATGGCTTCAGGTCCTTGGCAAAGCTAAGCAGGTTAAAACTGGAGAGGAAGAAAGAGAAGGGGGCAGAGAGAGGAAAAACGATTGGTAAGAACAGGCCAGTTTGTGCTGATGTTGTGGAAGTCACCTCCGTGAGGACTGTTCACTTGAGGACTCTGCATGAGTCCAGACACTGAGAAGGGAGAGGGTACCCCTTGAACATGCTAGATGCAGATGTAAAGAGATTAAGATGCTGCCCTGGGGCAAAAAGGTGTTCTTTCCTTTTTCAAAAGGAAATTCAAAAGAGCATTTCTCGTTTCTAAAATCTCTCTACCCCTTGGAACTGTGAGGAACTGGAAGTGTGCTCAGCCTGGGAAAACGGGGAGCTGCCCTCTAATCTTCCTGATCCTACCCAGCCCAGCCCTGTCACCTACCTGTCACAGTGCTTCCTCAGCTGCTCCCAAATCAGCAGAATCATCTCTGTCTTCATCTGCTGCAAGTGGGGGCCCATGGAGCCTGACGTGTCCAGCACGATGCACACATTGCTTTCCAAGATGGTGCCAAACAGCCTGCGGCTTCCTGCTCCCAGGTGGGTGGCAGAGGCAGAGAAGGGGTGAGACGTTAGTTTTCCTCATGGTCTCTACAAAATACCAAGTCTTATAGCACCTACTGCCTCCTCCATAACTGGTCACAAGTTCTCCACTGGGAGATGGCCCTGTGGTAGTGCTAGGGAAGTCAGCTGTCCAAGGGCTGACTTGAGATTTGGGAGATCAAGATTTCATCTCTGGGGACTGGAGAGAAAGCCAGGGAGAGGGACTGAATGGAGACACCTGTGTGGGATAGGTGAGACATAAACAGAAGTTGTCCAAGGCCTGGGGACACAGCTCAAGGGGAGATCCAGAGGGCTAGCAATTTGTCCAGAACCTACAGCTTACAGACTAGGTTCTGTCTTGGTCCCCAAATCCACACTTCTGCTGTGAAATGTTGTTCTGTATGCTTTGAATATGTGGTGCTCTGATTGGTTAATAAATAAAACTCCGATTGGCCAGTAGCCAGGCAGGAAGTTTAGGCGGGGCAAGCAGATGAGGAGACAGGAAGAGGAAGGGCAGAGTCAGGAGTCGCCAGCCAACACAGATGAAGCAAGATGACAAGACAGCTGAGAAAAGGTACCAAGGCATGTGGCTAAACATAGATAAGAATTATGGGTTAATTTAAATGTAAGAGCTAATCAGTAATAAGCCTGAGCTAAGGGCCAAGCAGTTATAATTAATATAAGCTTCCGAGTGATTATTTTATAAGCAGCTGTAGGACCACGGGGCCTGGTGGGACCGGAGAAACCTTCCTACTACACACTTCCATCAGGCATCCTCTAACTTTGGTCTTCTGGTTGTACAAGGCTAAACAGAAATGACAGTGGAGAGTTCAGCAAGTATCTGAGATGACCAATGTCATGAACACTGGTGTTCCCTGGGACAGCAGAAGAAAACTGACAAATGGCTGGAATATCAACTAGCCACTCTCCACCGAGTTTGTTGGACCTTGGTGTGTGGTGATATACTATTCATGCTGAAATGTGATATTTTATTTGTATGTTAGTAAAGTTTGCCTGGAGGTCAGAGGTCATAGTGAAGTCATAAACAGAAGTCAGGCGGTGGTAGCACACGCCCTTAATCCAATCACATGGCGGGCAGAGTCTCTGTGTGGTCAAGGACACAGTCAAGGTGGTGATATGTGCCTTTAATCCCAATACCAACCATAGAGACCTGGAGGTCTGTATAGATGGGCAGTGATGAAGTGATGTGGCTGGGCTTAGAACCAATGAGAAGGCAGAACAGGAAGGCAATAAAAGCACAGTTTAGACAGGAAGAAGCTCTCTCTGGGAAAGCACACCCTGGTGGTAAGTTAAGGCTAGTCATGGCTGTTTGCCATTTCTCTGATCTCTTTGGCTATTACCTCTGTATTTGGCTCTGTGTTTCTTATTTAATAAGACTGTTTAGAAATTCATCTACATTGGTGCCCAGGGTCTTCCAGGATCCATCTGGGTGTCCCAAAGCAATACTGTCAAATGGAAGATAAGAGGAAAGCCAGCCTGAAGCTAGCAAGGTGGTCTATGAGACTGGCCAGGCAGCTGGTCAGCCCTCCAAGGACCTCAACCACACACATTCCATCTAGAATCTGATGGCAGGAACATAGTGTGAGCCACCATGCCCTGCCCATTTTCACCTTCCAAATCTCTCATGCTCTGCCCACTTCTCCGCCTACGTAACCTAGGCCAGCTCTCTTCATCTCCCCGAAGAGCAGGACCAGATAATGCCTGTTCTGCTCTATCCCCCAAGAGTTTATCATCCACAGAGCAGCAGAGGGATCATTTTCTACTATGGAAAATCTGCTAATGGCTTCCCGTTGTTCTTAGTAACATCTGTACCCTGGTTGCATCTCCTCTCTCTCTCCCCTCTCTCTCTCCTCTCTCTTTCCTCTCTCCTCTCTCCTCTCTCCTCTCTCCTCTCTCCTCT